CAACAAGTGACATATTATGAAAAATTCACAAACTTCTGACGACTTGAAAAAAAAAAACAAGTACATGAAGGCAAAAATAAATAACGTATTTTTGGGAAATCTCATGATTAAAAAGAATTTCACACAAAAATTAATGTATTCTCAATTCTTGGGAAATTCCACGATTAAAAATAATTTTACACACAGGTGAGTTGGCAGAAATATATTTCTATTGAAATTGCACGATATCCGAGATATGTACCAACCGATTGAGTGAAAAACAAATTGAATATTAGTTTTTTCACAGATTTTATCGAGTTCATTTAGTAAGCATATACTTTTCACATTGACCCAACTTCCACGTGTGTATCTAACTCTTTGAATTAAATCGCTTTTGTCAATAAACTTCGTACTCTGTATTCAAAAATACCATTCCCCCACCATAGGTATAATAAACGAATTATTTCAACATTAAATATGTTAATCGCCTCAAAATAACAGGTTATCAATAACTTCCTACATTCATATTCAAAATAAAATGATTTCAAAAAACACTCACCAGCGTGGAAAAGGTGCACTTTTTATGTCAACAGAACTATTAAGCACAAAATAATCTATTTCTGCTATCTCAGTGTATGAATATTCCGAATTTTCACAGCACAAACCACCAAAACAACACACAATTGCGATAATCAATTGAATTACAAATACGAAAAACACAATACTATCACTCTGTACGTGAACACCCTGTTTTAAAAAATGCACAATTCCTTTCGCGTTATTTTCAATGTCGATCACTAAATTCGACCGTTCGTGATGACATCTAATATAAGACTGTCTTGATTCACCACCTGGTCCCGAATGAATGACCAATAAGTTGAGTCATGCTGATAACCGATTTATCTATGACTAATGAAGATAATAAAATTATACGGGGGTTGGGGCGGGAAGATTCATAATACAAAATGCGAGATAATAAATAGAACGCGGACATATACAGGCAGAATTTTTTCGGAAATCTCTAACGATTCAAAAGAATTTAACAGACAAATCGATGGTGGTGAGATGTTATTAAATGAAAATTAAAGAATTTAACACGGCCATTTAGGCAAGTTTTTGATTGTATACACAGAGGGATAAGGATCGAAAGCTTTTTTTTTTAATCTCTCATGTAGATTTTTTTATCGGTTGTAGTGCACGAAAGGGAAACATTTTTGAGCAAAACAGGTACCCTTGTGAAATTCCGAGCCGATTTCAAGTTATTTCGTTTTTTAGTGTTCAATGTCGCACCGGAATAAATTATTTTGAATAAAATATGTTTGCTGTTATCTTCGTGTATCTTATTTGGTCATTGAATTAGGCGTGCGAAAATTGATTTTTCAAAATACTTTCTCGGAGTGTATCTGCTTGTCGATTTTTATTTTTTGAAACGGAGCAATTCCGGACCAAGGTAAGTTGCTTTAAATCGGCTTATTTGACCTCAGGGTTATGTGCTGAGATTTTGTACAGATCTTTTAGGAACACCCTGTGGAATATACAAAATACAAGATGAAGAATTGAACACGAATATACCGGCAGTATTTTTTTCGAAAATCTCACGATTTGGAAGAATTCGATACAGGTTGAAAATATATTCTTTCCAAAAATCTCGTGATTGAAAATAATTTTACAGACAAAGGTATATGCTTGATGTATTGATGTCTGCTTGCATTGTTTTTTCCTAAATAATACAGCTCTGAACCAAAAGCACGAGAATCCGAAGAACATATTCTTTAATCAAAAAAAATATCGAAATCTCACGATTTGAAACAATTCAACAAGTGACATATTATGAAAAATTCACAAACTTCTGACAACTTGAAAAAAAAAACAAGTACATGAAGGCATAAATAACGTATTTTTGGGAAATCTCATGATTAAAAAGAATTTTACACAAAAATTAATGTATTCTCAATTCTTGGAAAATTCCACGATTAAAAATAATTTTACACACAGATGAGTTTGCAGAAATATATTTCTATTGAAATTGCACGATTTCCGAGATATTTACCAACCGATTGAGTGAAAAACAAATTGAATATTAGTTTTTTTCACAGATTTTATCGAGTTCATTTTGTAAGCATATACTTTTCACATTGACCCAACTCCCACGTGTGTATCTAACTCTTTGAATTAAGTCGCTTTTGTCAATAAACTTCGTACTCTGTATTCGAAAATACTATTCCCCCACCATAGATATTATAAACGAATTATTTCAACATTAAATATGTTAATCGCCTCAAAATACAAACAGGTTATCAATACCTTCCTACATTCATATTCAAAATAAAATGATTTCAAAAAACACTCACCAGCGTGGAAAATGTGCACTTTTTATGTCAACAGAACTATTAAGCACAAAATAATCTATGTCTGCTATCTCAGTGTTTGAATATTCCGAATTTTCACAGCACAAACCACCAAAACAACACACAATTGAATTACAAATACGAAAAACACAATACTATGACTCTGTACGTGAACACCCTGTTTTAAAAAATCCACAATTCCTTTCGCGTTATTTTCAATGTCGATCAGTAAATTCGACCGTTCCTGATGACATCTAATATAAGACTGTCTTGATTCACCACCTGGTCCCGAATGAATGACCAATAAGTTGAGTCATGCTGATAACCGATTTATTTATGAAGATAATAAAATTATACGGGGGGGGGGGTAGATTCATAATAAACGAAATACGAGATATGAATTGAACGCGGACATATACAGGCAGTATTTTTTTCAGAAATCTCTAACGATTCAAAAGAATTCTACAGACAAATCGATAGTGGAGGGATGTTATTCATTAAAAAAGAAAAGAATTTAACACGTCATTAAATAAAAAAAGAAAAGAATTAAACACGGCCATTTAGGCAAGTTTCTTATTGTATACACTGAGGGATAAGGATCAAAAGCTTTTTTTTTCAAAAATCTCTCACGTGGATTTTTTTATCGCTTGTAGCGCACGATAGGGAATTCCTATAATGTTCTAAGAACATCTTGCGTACCTAGGGAGGAAAGGGAGAGGAGGTAGGTATTGGATATTTTGCGGAGTTCTTGTTCTTGGTATCTGTGCTTTGAAGATCATGAAAAGTTGTTAAGGTGTAGGATGTTCGGTAGGATGACGTAATAGTATGCTTCAGAGCCACCAATAAACATCTTGAGACTTCAAAAATGTGTCGTTACCATTCGTCCAAATATAAAATCCACAATGGAAATAGAATCAGATAATTTTATTATTTCCTTAGAGTTGACAATTAGTTGTATTATACACAGGCCAGTGAATAAAACAGATTGCAGTCAACAACGGATTCAACCTTGACTGGATAGGCAATATTATTTCTAAGAAACTCCATGATAAGCAATTCAGCAAGAAGCTTATTCTACCATCGAAAACAATAAACAAAATTATATATTCGCCTGATAGGTGATGCCACACTCACTAACTCTTTGACATCATTGGAACTCTGTGAAAAAGTCGACGACCGTTCACTCTTCTATAGATTCTTTCTCGGGAGATGTTCTTCAGAAATCTCTGCTTTCATTCCATCACTAGCAATACCAGGCAGACGAAATCGACAAGCCCACTCAGCACATCCTTTCGTCATCAACCTTGAGATATCTCGAACAACTCTACGAAAACTCGTTCGTCTATGAAACGGCAAAGCTTCGGACTTCTTTGCCATCGAAGGAAGTGTTTGCCAAGAATCTCCAAAAGTTCTCGAAAAATCCAATACCTACCTTCCCTCCCTATCCTCCGAGCTATCCTCCCTAGGTGCGTACGATGTTCTCCGAATTCCCTTTCCCTTCCCAAGAGATAAAACAATAATTAACTATTTCGGATAATCAATAAAAATATCGAGTTGATTTCTACATAAACAGAGTTGCTTGGGAAGGTTCAAAAATATTAAAGACCAACCAAAGTTCTATCAGGTGTGTAAAAACTGAACTGTGGACCTTGATCGGTCAAACATGTAGAACGTTTAACCACCATATTCACGAACATCCTTTTTTTTATTTTGTGGAAATTTTTATCGTCTGTAAAGTTGTTACAAAATCATTTGAGTTTTATCAGTGTTCAGGTTCAGATTAGGTCTATGAGATATTATTCCTCATGTACACGGCACTTCACATCAGACCATCGTTTCAGGTTATTGGACGGTAACGACGAATTCGAGCGCATCATAGGCTACAAATTCTATGACCGCTCCTACCTGCTGCAGGTTCTTACCCACGCTTCCTACTCCTTCAACTAACTCATCGAATTATTGGAGTTTTATCAGTGTTTAGGTTCAGATAATGTCCTACTAAATATTCTTCCACATGTACACCATACTTCATGTAATACCATATTGTTTCAGGCTATTGGACGGCTACGACGAATTCGAACGCATCATAGGTTACAGATTCAAAGACCGCTCCTACCTGCTGCAGGCTCTCACCCACGTTTCTTACTCCTTCAACTAACTTACCGAATGTTCAAAAATTATTTGAGTTTTATCAGTGTTTAGGTTCAGATTATTCTTCCACATGTACACCACACTTCATGTCAGACCATTGTTCTAGGTTATTGGACGGCTACGACGAATTCGAGCGCATCATAGGCTACAGATTCAAAGACCGCTCCTACCTGCTGCAGGCTCTTACTCACGCTTTCTACTCCTTCAACTAACTTATCGAATGTTGTTCCAAAATTATTTGAGTTTAATCAGTGTTTAGGTTCAGATTATTCTTCCACATGTACACCACATTTCTTGTCAGACCATTGTTCCAGGTTATTGGACGGCTACGACGAATTCGAGCGCATCATAAGCTACAGATTCAAAGACCGCTCCTACCTGCTACAGGCTCTCACTCACGCTTTCTACTCCTTCAACTAACTTACCGAATGTTGTTCCAAAATTATTTGAGTTTTATCAGTGTCTAGGTTCAGATTATTCTTCCACATGTACACCACACTTCATGTAGGACCATTGTTTCAGGTTATTGGACGGCTACGACGAATTCGAGCGCATCATAGGCTACAGATTCAAAGACCGCTCCTACTTGCTGCAGGCTCTCACTCACGCTTCCTACTCGCCCAACCAACTCACCGACTGCTACCAGCGGCTCGAGTTCCTGGGAGACGCCGTCCTGGACTACCTCATAACCAGGCACCTCTACGAGGACCCCAGGATGCATTCTCCGGGGGCCCTCACCGACCTCAGGTCCGCGCTGGTGAACAACACGATATTCGCCTCGCTGGCAGTCAGGAACAACTTTCACAAGTACTTCAAGCACCTCTCGCCCGGCCTCAATGAGGTATGAATCAATCAAGCAATCAAGGTTGAAAATTTGTCCGTAAAAAATAACAGTTGCAGTACCTAGCACAGTCGAATGTATCCTGCCAACTTTCTGCAATATCTCAACATATGGAATTAATTCTCTCGGATTCTATTCGGATAAATTTCTCGCAAAAAATACGTATACGTACCGCAAATATCAAGTAATGAAAAATTTTAGGAAGTATTGGTCACTCATAGTGAAAATAAATCAAAGAAGTAAGCTGTAGTGTAGTAGCTGTAAATGCAAGGGAAATATAATTATATAAGTTTTGTATCTACAATTTACAGCAAATTGACGTCAATTTGGGGGAATTGAGTTATGGAACATCCGTTATATGAAACTGACGGCATATATTAATAATAATGTTTTTTCGAAAGAATCAGAATACAATGGGAGAAATAATGATAACAAGACAACATTAGGTGAATAAACATTAGAAAACCCACAGAAGCAGCAAATGTTGCTTGTTGTTGAAAAAGTATGAATTACGTTTGAAGTTTGACGAGCTATTATTGAAAATACTAAGATTAATAATTTTGGAATATAAAACTAAGTAGGTACAAAAATTCAAGAGTGTACAATACATATATACAAAATGGCCAAAATGGATAGATATATGAAATGAAATAACTCCAGTTAAACAATCACAAAAACTTCTGAGACGTATAATATATATATACAGGGCTTTCATTTCAAAACTTACCACCCTGCATATCTTTTGTTCTGCGAAGATTGAAGTTTTCGGAAAAAACAGGTCAATTTAGATATCGAGGGGGAGTAAAATTCCAGTATCAATTGAATTCTATGTTCATCCCCATATGTATCTCAAAGTAGGGGGTGCCATTTGAGATTTCAAAGTAGGGGTGTCTGGGGGTGCAGGGTATGAACATAGAATTCAATTGATACTGGCATTTTACTTCCCCCTCGATATCTGACTCGACCTGTTTTTGCCGAAAATTGTAATCTTCGCAGATCAGAAGATATGCAAGGTGGTAAGTTTTGAAATGAAAGCCCTGTATGTATGTAAATATCACAAGTGCGTTTACTGGGTTTGTAGGTAGTCGAGAGGTTCATCCGCCTTCAGGAGGAGAGCGGGCATTCTCTGGTCGACGAGCTCTACCTGGTAGTCGAGACGGAGTGCGAAGAAGTCGAAGACGTGGAGGTGCCGAAAGCCCTCGGCGATGTCTTCGAGTCAGTTGCCGGGGCCATCTTCCTGGACTCCGGGATGTCCTTGAACGCCGTGTGGCGGGTCTACCACGCGATGATGAAGCCGGAGATCGAGCAATTCAGCGACAGGGTGCCCAAGTCTCCGATCCGGGAGCTGCTCGAACTGGAGCCTGAGACCGCCAAGTTCGGGAAGCCTGAGAAGCTCGCGGACGGTAGGAGGGTGAGGGTGACTGTGGAGGTGTTCGGGAAAGGGCTGTTCAAAGGCATCGGCAGGAATTACCGGATCGCCAAATGTACCGCTGCCAAATGTGCGCTCAAACATTTGAAGAGGCGCGGGCTGATCAAAAAGTTTGATGACTGATACAAATCGAGGAATTCGAAGGTATTGAAGAGAATTGTTTGTTGACGATTTTTTTTTTTTGACCTTGTACCGGTGACTTGCGTACCTAACAATATTTATTTTAGTTGTATTCTTTTTTTTCATGTTATTATGTTGTTTTGTTTTCATCATAGATTGTTATCACAAGACAAACAGGAGAGAATTTTGTACTTGCGGTGTGGCCACATCATTTTTAAAACTTCTTGCCGTGTTTAAAATTAAGGGAAAATTATAGAGATTTTTGTGACCAACTTCAAACTTTTTTGTTTCCAGTTTCATCGAACATTTTCAGAATGTGATCTCATTTAATGTCTACCTTGAATTGTGAATATGTGAACAGAAAAATAGTTGAAGGTCTCAGAAAAACGTTATGGAGATATTTCATAATTTCAAACTGGAACACCCTATATATTTTACCATATTTGAATAGAGAATATTGTTATGAACTCAATGGTTCAATTTGTGTGTATCCGAATAAAGGTATTTATACCCCCACCAAAAAATAAACCGAAGGCCGTTCATTTTTTGATTTCTCACGAAAATGAACCGGTTAACCGTTCAGATTTCAGTCAGCTGGGGTTTTTGTTTTCGATCATAATAAATAGACAGTTGCATTTTGGTTGTATGATCGTTGGCTCCGACCGCTCCGGTGGCTCAACAAAAATCATCTCAAAATGTTCCCAACAGATTTGGTGGTGTTCTTCCATTTCTTGATTCAAAAAGTGAGTACTAGGTATCTCAAAAATAGTTTGAATAATCATAAATATGTTTACTTCTAATAATAATATAATACTTTAAAAATAATGATACAATGTCACTTGTCAAATACTATAACCGCCAGTAAGCATGTTCACAGATGCGGGAACTAAAACAGTTCCCGTTTTATAAATCTTGACGTCACTGATGACGTCATTATCATTGTCCCCTATTACCGTTATGACGCGAAAATGCAACGGGAACTGAATATCAGTTCCCGGCAAATCAACGGGATCTCGCGAAAAAATACCTTATGAGTCATCATTGAGAGATACCTACACATAAATTGTTCCTGAAACGCTCAATTATATGAAATATGGAAGATCATATTCTGGATTCTGTTCTGAAGTTATTAACGAATAAAAATGATTGCATTCCTACTTTTTTTCATCGAAGTAATTATATTCTTAGAACATATTGGTTTGGGGGCACTAATGCCATTGACAAAATCTTTTATTTATCATGATGCAGTTGATTGTATCCCAGATATGTCACTGCCTGAAATGACATTAACTTATAAAATCAAATTTTCATGACATTTTCCAGAGAAGAAGAATTTTAGACCCGCCATATTTTTGAACAATATACGCAATTTTGAAACGACTGTACTTTATACTGTATATATTGAAATGTAGGTGCTTTGAAAGTAGTATTGAATCAAGCTATAAGGTTATGTATTTATAAATATGTATATCAAACTGGACGAATTTGATGAAACAGGTATAATAGGTATTAACTGACTATTTATAAAACTATGGTTTTAATCTAGTCAAATTTGAAAGTTTGTGTGTATCTCTAGTCTGGGATCTATTGAAGAGTTCAAATATTTCAAAGTTCTCTTCATTTTTCAAATGATCGATCGGTGTTGCTATTGTGATTTCTATATTCATCTAACTAAACAAAACTCAGTGATTGCATTTTTGCAGTCATCTTCGTTAAATCTAACGACTAACGACTGTAAACAAGACATATTCACCAGATATTCGCCAGAATGAATCCACATAACTAGTAGATAGATAATACTGTAGATATGTAAGTGAAGTATGTGATGAATTCTTCATTCTGTCACAATGAGTTCTTGGATGTCAATTTTGTTCTTAGAATACAATATTCTAGTTTGCCTAACAAGGATAAGAAATTGCTAAATTTTCAACTCGAAAAACTGATCATAGGTGTTGATTTTTACATAATCCAAAGAGAGATAACATTATTGACTTTTGGGACACTTTGTATAATAATCATCTGGGTATTCCATTTGAAACATTCATTCTATTTTTTATCAGATATGTATATTTTGCGAACTGTAGTTGTGACAGGAATATCGAATTCATTCCATACTAAAAAAATCGTACTGTCTTTATGCACCAAACTACAATAAGTTAAACAATAATTAGTTTTAATTTTTAACTCATCATTGGTTTCGAGCGCTTGACATTTTTGTTATTGCTGAAGGAACTAATATTTGCTAGTGTTTGAATAATTCAGAAATTTGTGTTGCTTGTTTTAGAATTATTTTTTTGTTTTGTTTTTTCTGTGCTCATTGAGGGTTCGAAACCAAACAGGGGTAGATGGAGCACTCAATTGGCCCAAAAGAGTGGCTTGTGGCAGAAATCTAATATGAAACAGTGGAAGAACTATAGAGTTCACTAAATTGAATTAAGCTTCATAGACATCGTAAAAAAAATTTTATCTATAGGTTTGGATAGGAACTGAATAATTGGTATTGAATTTGCCTAGTTTCGATGATAGACGGTAGAAGGACTACAGGGTGAATGGTAGATGTTAGTATTTTTTAGCCTTATGTGTTAGGTATTTGAAAACCTCATTTTTCCCCCAAGTTGAATAGGACAATCATGTTGATAATCATAGTTTCTCGTTTTCATTTTGTGGTAAAGTATTAGCAAGCTTTTCCAAACACTGAATTGAATGGAATTAAACATTTTAAGTGTTTTGTTTAAATGCCTATGGTGAAGTAGTTCCTCTTAAATTTTTTGTATTTTGTGTAATGTGTTATGATCATGGAGCAACTCCATTTGCCCCTTGCACTATTTATTTTTGATTGTTTGTACAATAATTAAACTAGTTTTATGTTTCAAATCCAATCGTGTCCTTATATCTTTGCAGTTGGAAAATGATTGTTCAACCAGAGAGGACTCAGTCTCTCTGGTTTAACTACCTCTTATTTTAGAAATTATTGTCTGTGATGTTGTCGATCACCAAATTATTTTAAGTTGGAAAGGTTTTTTACAAGTTCATTAAACAAGTTCTTCTAATAAGTGTTTTCATTTCAAATGTCATCTGAAGATGGGACGCCAATTCAATTACCGAAATGCTTAACAAACAATCAAGATTTGTGTAACAGGAGAGTGGAATGAGAACCAGTAAGTATTGAATTAATTATCTATCGAAAATGCAAAACTTCGAATAGACAAAAATCTATATTTGTGTATTAGGAAAGCAGGAACGAGAGAGAGCATAGAAGGGGTAATGAGTTGTATATCGAAAATGGTAATCCTGGTATCAAGCAGACGAAACTCTTAAAAATTCATGTATCAGGAGAATAGAAATACGAAAAGGTATTGAGATGCTATCGAAAATGCAAAATGCAGCAGAAATGAGATAGGGTTGAGGTGTTTATCGAAACTGCAAATCCTGGTTTAAAACAGGCACAAATCGAAATTCGTGTACCAGGAGAGCAGAAATGAGAAGAGGTATTTAATCACGTCTATCGAAATTGCAAAATCCGGTTTCCAGTGGGCAAGAATCTAATTTGATTTATCAGGAGACGTGACATGAGAAGAGGTATTGAATTGAGCTAGTTGTCTATCTAAAATGCAAATCAGAGTTTTACGAAAGCGCTGAACGGACATGATACTTTTTTTCTTATAATTGCCAGTTTAAACTGGCATTTAGCCATAATTGCCAGTTTGATCTGGCAATTAGCTATAATTGCCAGTTTGAACTGACAATTAGCCATAATTGCCAGTTCAAACTGGCATTTAGCCATAATTGCCAGTTTGATCTGGCAATTATCTATAATTGCCAGTTTGAACTGGCAATTAGCCATAATTGCCAGTTTAAACTGGCATTTAGCCATAATTGCCAGTTTGAACTGGCAATTAGCCATGATTGCCAGTTTAAACTGGCAGTTAGCCATAATTGCCAGTTTGAACTGGCATTTAGCTATAATTGCCAGTTTGATCTGGCAATTAGCCATAATTGCCAGTTTGAACTGGCATTTACCCAGACAGCACTGGATATTCCTAGAATATTCTCTAAATATGCTAAAAAGGAGGAGTATATTCCGAATATTCATCGATTATTCCTAGAATATATACATGCCTCTGGAACATCTAGAAGGAATATTCCAAAGTGATGTTCAGGGAATATTCAGGTATGAATTTTCCAGGAATATTCCCAAATGAATATTCTCTCTTGTATATTCATGAAATATTCCCAACTGAATGTTCTGTGGGGTATATTCATGAAATATTCTCAACTGAATATTCTGTGCGGTATATTCATGAAATATTCTCAACTGAATATTCTGTGGTTAATATTCATGAAATATTCCATGCATATTCCTATGTTTCTCAACACATAAATACCCATCATTATTTCAGAGTTGTGAGTATCGAACATCAAAATTAGATGTAAGGGAATTTTGAAACAAAAAGTGTTTATGATCCGATTTCGAACAACGCTCTCACAAGAAATTGATATGTACAACATCATTCAATTCGATTACTGGCCTAGTGGTCAAGGCGTTGGTCTGATAGTCTTGAGGTCACGAGTTCGATCCCTACTAGGGTCACTTTTTTTATTTTAGAATATGTTTATTGGAATATTCCAGGAATATTCAACATGGAATATTCTTTTGGATATATTCTATGAATATCTGAGGAATTCCCATTCGCATATTTAGAGAATATTCCACAGATATTCCGGAATATTCCAGATTATTTCAAGAATATTCCAATATTCGAAAAGGAATATGATAGGGAGATTCATGGAATATCTGGTGCTGTCTGGGTAGCCATAATTGCCAGTTTGAACTGGCATTTAGTGCTTTCGTACGGAAGTACCCCGCAAATGTAATGTCACAGTTCAAGCCATGACAGCTCTGTCTAATAGATGCGCATTACTTGAGAGGAAATCAGATGGCTACAAGACGAAGAAATCAAAAATGTCGCTGTTATCTGTCACAGCCGTAGAAAAATTATGGT